AGAAAGTGTTAACTCAACACCAGTGACTGCAGATGCTGATCTTGAAAATAATGAGGCTTTCAACAGATTCTAAAACTTATAAAAAGTTCACATACCTATACAAGATTCAAGAGATCTAGACATCATGCTTTCAGCTTTGTCAGTACTAGTGAGACGAGCAGGGCGTTTCCTAACATAGTTTTCCTGAAGAGGCTTCGGGATTATAAATGAAAATTGAGATAGATTCACCCCATCTCTGACATACTCTGAATGTTTCACTTAGTACCTGCAAAAACAAATACATTTAATATTTTCCTATATGATCAACTTTAGACATTAGCATCCAGAAAAGTAAAGTTTCTAATTAATAATGTGCTATGGAAAAAAAGAAGACATACTTCTCCACTTCAACCATTGAGCGGAGCCTCTTCCCAGATGGTGCAACATAATATCTAAAATCACCAAATAAATGATTAGATACAGATTTAAGATGTAAAAAGAACTCAAATTATTCAGATTTATGAAAAGCTTTCTTTGCTTTGACCACACAATGCAAATTTCCCTTTTGATGTGGACTTTCGTCAACAAGACTTTATAGGTTTGATATTCTTAAAAAGAACGTTGATGGTCCAAGCTATCATGAAGCAGATCAAGTAGATCTTTCATAGTTTGACTTCATTAAAATAGAAACCAATATTTGAATTGAAATAGGTTGATCATGTTCATTGACAGGAAGTTACCTATTGAGGTAATGGTTCAACAAAAAAACCACCAACATAAAATTTTGATTACTCCAAGAAATAGGTAAGCAGATTTGAAAATTTTGATTACTAAAAGAAAAAGCCAAGAGTAACCCACAGCTGTTGTTATGAAATGAACCTCACCTGCATAAACCAAAATCCTATACCACAGCTACAGAGAATGAAGAACATATATATTGTGGATAAATATGTCTAGCCATAAACCTTATATACAAAATAAAAAAGGTAGCCCAGTGTTCAACACGTCTACAATTGCGAGATCTAGGAAATGTTGATGTACATAATTTTAGCCCTGCAAGCAGATAATTCATTTCCTTGTGTTGAATCTTGGTCACCCAGATTGCAAGGAAACAATCTCACTGTAGAATTAAGGCTCTCCCATTAATCTCTAGTTTCACCAAATTTATCTCAAAAATAAAGGAGAACCAAAAAAGGTAATGGTGTTTTCCAGTAATTTGAAGGTAAGGAACCAAAAACATATAAAATGGAATGGGTCAGCAATAAATAACTAAAAGAAGCACAGTTTAACATATCATACGGTTTCATTGTTCATACTTTGTCAAGTCTCCCTGTACAGTCTGCATGCTATACTTCTTCACTTCTAATTAATCAGGCATTAAAACAAAATTTCATATAACCAGGATTTTGGACTTGCAACATAATCAGCTACAGGCCAAAAGCTCAGCCGGTTGTATCCTTGACAAGGATACACACAGTTGTCCTGTTGGTCAGTTGCAGCTTACAGTCATCAAGCGGTAGGTTATAACAAAAAATGAAGGAAAAAAAAATTATCAACTCGATTTATGGAGAGGTGAAACCAGCTAATTGTGAAAGTATGATGGAAACAGGAATAAAAATACATGTCTGCAAATCTGGTGCTTCCTTCACTCCGGATCCTAAGCAATCTTTCCCAGCCAGGAGGAGGTTGTGCAATGTTAGGCTTATCAATTGCCCAAAGCCTACTTCCATCTTGAGAAATATCAGTGGGATCATCACAGGATACATCAGAACGCCAATCACGAGCTCGGTCACATACAAAAGGTTCTTGTAGTATATTTTCACGTATTTCTTCGTACTTCTCTTTTGTCGGAATAAGCCTCCACTTGAGGCATGCAGCACACTGGATCGTGAATGCTCCAACAGACGGCAAAACCCTACTAGAAGGATTTGATGCCAAAAAACTCTTGAAGGATGTATGCTCATTTTCAGTTGCATCAAGTATTGCAACAGCAACTTGACCTGGTTTACTAGTGTCTGGATTATAAAGCACCAACCGTTTCGAAGCATTTTCAGTTGGTGGAGTATCCACAGCAACATCACTTGTGGTAGAAACATCCAGTGACTTCTGATGTGTCATAGTTAATTCTCGCAGGAATCTAGTGTGCTTCCTGTTAACTTTGGTGGCAGCAACACCTAGATGGGATTGCATCTAAATTGGATCTGAAAATTCATAAATAAGACCATGACATCTTTCAAGCAATTGTGATTTGTGCGAAACAGCGAAAAGCAACAGACTCTGCTGTCAGAATTTAGAAGTGCAAATTCTGTTATAGACTGCAAAGTGTTGTAAGGCCATGTTCTTGACTTCCACTTAAGTGAAGCTACAACAAGTTTATAAACAACTGACCTCTGAAACTGAAACAAGAAACCGATACCAACCAATACCAGGGACAGGATAACATATATGCCAAACATAAGAATATAACTTGTCATATTAACCTAGCCTAAATGTTACCATAAATCATGCAATCAAGTCGATTATCAGCTATATTGAGCAAAAAAACTCATATTCATACTCGGATTACTCTTCTACCAATTATCAGCCCACAGAGGTGCTTAGTGTCTATGTGGAATGGGTACACAAAACAAAAGCTTTCTACAAATAATCCAAACATTGCTATTAAAAGCAGTTATATGTATAAGGTAAGAACAATTTGATGCAAGTTGATAAGCACCTTAAAGAAGTTTGAATAATTGGTATATAATGACGAACAAATACTCACGGCACCATTACATCAATGCTGTTGTTGCTCTTGCCATCTACATGACATCATCAAAAGACCTAAAGCCACATAATTAAGCTCACCAAAAAATATAGTTTCTTCAACTTCTCTCAAAATATTGGCAATAGCAAGCCAAAAAAGTAACCGAAATTGAAAGAAATAAAGAGCATCTTTTATCAGAATCTAAAGTTAGCTGTTTTGCCTAAAACGATCAAAAAAGAAGGAAAAAGTTTAGGCTTAGATAAAAAAGAAAAAGAGGGAGTCGCATGGATCTGGAAGAGAATATTCTTGGTAAAGAAATGAAGGAATCCTCGCAATGATCAGATACTCAAATGTGTCCTGCGTTTCCTACTTCTCTAATTACTTAAAGATATGAACTTTAACCCCCAACCAAAATCACAAACCCTAATCGCTAGCAACATTTGCACATAGGAAGACAACTTTTTTCTTACTGCGGAGAAAAATCGTAAAGTTAAAGCATTGTCAGATACCAAAGCATTGTGGCGTAAGCTACCATTTTTAGAACTGGAAACCATCGGTGGACATATCGACTGCGCAGAGGCAAGGAAAACCAACATGGGAATCCAAAAGTTTCGTTTTACCTTCGAGTGAGTGAGTGAGAGTGAGAGTGAGAGTGAGAGAGTGAGAGAGAGAAGCGTCGCTTGCTCGCTCGCGCCTCGATGTGTACAGCAAAGTCGTAATATTTCCATTTAATGCGTTGCCGGTTTCTTGCGCAGCAGGAATCGTTTCAGCTTTCCATGTTCTCGAAACAAGAAACAGAAATGTTGCGGCAGTCAGCTCACAAAATACGTGGGAGGGAGTGGCATTCCTACAACACATGACATGGCAGCAAAACACGAAAAAAATATTTCCAGGTTTCCAAAAACGAAAGCAAAAACTGTTCCAAAGAACAGCACATCGTGGTCTCCTCGTTCTTCCGGTCGGTCTACGTGACACGAGGACGACACTGGTCGTCACGTACGCTCTCCGTCAGGCTCCTTAATGCTGCCCATGCTGCTGCAACAAAAGTGGAGACAAGTATGTGCTGCTCCACGCGCAGAGGCACCATTCTCATGGCCGCCATCTTTCCTTTTCTTCTGTATCTTAAACCACACAACTGGTTCTCATTTCCTAACGATGCATCTGCTTCACATATGTCTGCTACAGAGATGCTGTCTTCTTCTCGACTGTTCGATGAGCCATTCCTCAAAAGAACCCTGTCACAGAAATATGAAAATGAGTTGACACTGTAAGAACAGAAAGCTCATGCAGAGCAGAGCTTCTTCACTACGACCTGACCACAACAGGGAAGCTGCTGTGTTTGGTGGAGGGTCTGGTGCTTTCGACTGTTCCTGCAGCTGGTGAAATCCGCGATCTCCGACGCCGCTTGGTCTTCCTTCTCGCTCTCTCTCGTGTTCGGCATTCATCAGCTCTCCTTTGACTTCTTCACACTCCATTGGCTCTGGTTCCTGCACAGTTGCAGTCTTTTCTTTGACGAACACCGCAAGTTCCCCATCCTTGCAGCAAACGTGCTTCGCAAAATCAAACTGATGAACTTTCGAATTCAACGATGATAGTGTTATATAGTTATTGTTCTTAGATTGGGGATATAGAACACAGTATCCTTTTCCCTTTTCTTGGACAACAATAAGATATATGCTTCCAACAGAGCTATTCCTTCCAAACTACATGATACTTTCGATAAATCATCACAAGAAACGAAGCTAAACAGTGAAGAAGAGCTCTAAACGATGAGAGACAGTTCAGCATCACAAACATATGGAATCGAACCCATAGGAATAGGAGGCTCGCTCTTACCAGGCTTCTGGTCTTCTTAGTCTTGGAGAACGGTGAGGAATCCGAGGGGTGGTGACAAACCATCTCGACATCTTTCCTCTTCACCCTCGTGGGCAGATGGCTCGCCATCTCTGGGATTATTCGAGCTTTGATCTCGAGAAAGCACCTGCCATTAAAGGCCATCAATGATCGGCATTCAAGCGGAATCGTCCAGTGAGTCTCGAGAAGGGGAGAGGAATTGCCACGTGGCGTCGTTGGCCAGCCGTGCTACGATAGGCTTGGGCTTCGAATTGAGCACTGCATAGTCCAAAGCCAGCGTATGATCAGATCCGGTCCGGTTTGGACGCGAATAATTGGGCCGGGCCGAGCCCAACTTTCCGTTTCGCCTTCTGTTGCTAATCCGCAAGGATAGTTCTACTCGCGATAAGAGACGATTCCTTCCCCATTAAAATAGTTGGACCTGTCGGCTTCCTTTTCCGTGGGGTTAACGCTCGGGATTCGCGAGATGCAGTAAGAATCCATTGGTTATCTGTGTGGTTTCTACTTCTATCACTTAAATTCTTGTCCTAATTGGTCAGCTATCGATTTAAATCATCTTCTTAGTGATTATTGTTCGAGTAATCTGTATGTATAATCTCTACAATTAGTGGCATTGTCGAGTAATTTTCTTGGTGTCTCATTTTGCTTTGTATCATTTGATTAGGGTGAATGATTTGTTTCTCTTTTTCTCAATCTTTATGCGTCTTGGAAGACCTGATATCAGCAAGATCGTAACCGAGTGATCTGATCCCCAACGTGTTGTTATCCAGCGAAAGTCCTGTTGCAAAAAGCTCTGGCTTTTGTCTGAGAACATCGAGAACTAGTTTTCTGACAATGCAATTTTCTGTTGCTTTTTGGTATATCCGATCATGAGTTGTAATACTCATCTGTATCGTATGTTCAGAGCCTTTTTCACCTGATGAATGTGTTCAGTGATGATTTAACTGGTTTCCTTGACGTTTTTGTCTTAACGTTATCTCAGTAGTAAGATTTTTGAAAATAGAGTTTGTCCTTCAATTATTTAGAAGAAAATCAGTTGTTGTAAGCTTTACAATCGGGTGAGTTCAAAATGTGTGATGTGCTTCTGGCCTGCTCTTTGTTGTTTATCATGCATTGGATACTCTGCTAATGGCTGAACAATGCCAAAATTTCATCTGGAAGTTGATTGAGAGGTGGGTTAGGTTTAAATCTGTCTATAAGCCTGATTTGGTATATAGAACTTACACATTCAAGACTTATATAGATCAGGTTTAAAGCCTGATTCAAGGAGATGATTTAAAGCTGTCTTTTACATAGAACTTATGAATTCAGGACTTGTAGGGATAATGCTATATTACTGAATAATTTGTCCTAAAGTATAAGTCTGTAATAGTAGCACAATCTAATATTCCAGCTATACCAATTCTCAATAGGATAGGTTATGAAAATGAGTCTTACTAGTTGACTTGAAGGTTCATTGTAGTAAAATTTGGTTGACTTGTGTAAGAAAAACATGACTTCAGGCTTCTTAATTTGACTACAGGAGGCAAGTCTAAACTGTTTTTCACTATTTGAATATTTGCTAACGAAGGTTTTCTTATATAGATTCTGAATCCAGAAAATCCCACCTTTTTTGAAGGATCAGTTTTGATGTAGTCAAATGAAGACCTGTGCAAAATGATTTATTCAAGAAAATGCTGCATCAAAGAATTACAATACTAAGAGGTTATATACTGACCTAATAACTAATGGATTGGACTCTGTACATTGATTTGAAAACCAATGGATGAGACTCTGGTAGAGTATTAGTACAGATCTTGATGGCTCTGTACCCTTCTTCTGAAAATAGCATGAATGTTGCTCAAATGAACAGTTAGTAGAAATCACATATGCTACATTGTTCAATAAAGTATCAAGTCCAAAAATCCTTGATTTAATGACAATAAAATATCAGTGGACTCAATAGAATGAACAGAAAGAATAGATCCATCCATATGCAGATGCTACTTGGCCTAGGAAATTTGGTCCATCGTTGCACTAGTGTTTTCATTAGATGAGTTGCTTCTGATATTTACTCAGACTTAGATATGTTGTTTAACAACCTATAAAGAAAAAAATTCCTATTTAATTGACTGATTTTCTGTCATAAGAAGCAGGAAGGAATGATGCGAACATAAGCATGCAGCATAAAGCAATCAAGTATAGTTCATCCTTAGAAAATTTTCCAACTGCTATTGCTTTTGCTACTAGTATTTTGCATACACCTCAAAGCACTAGGCATTTGCTCTTCGAAAAAGGTAGGAGGGAAAAGAGAATTTTTTTGGGGGGGAGAAGAATCATCTCTAGCCATTAGCTATCTATCTGCACACTGGTTTTGGTGGTTGATGGTACTTGGCAACCTCAGCTTTTGAAGAACAATAGCGGGGTCCTTCCTTGTTCTTCTCGATCACCTTCAATATGCTCTCAAACACAGACGCCTCACATGGAATCCTGAGGACGCCTTCCTGCTGGAAGCCGAACTCCTTTTCTGCTTCTCCAAGCAAGATTCTGAAAGCTTCATGACCCAAATAGTCCATTGGGATCACAAATCTCTGCATCTCCTCTCCAACACAGATGGCTAGATGTCCCTTTGGGATGTCCCCAGAAAATGCTGATGAAGTGTCCGAAAAGGAGAGGGTCCTCTTCAGGAACTTGATGCCCTTGCTATTGCTTTTTGGTGCAACAGCAAGCTTCTTCCACTTCTTTACCATCTGTTGGAGCCTAACAATCTCCATGATCTTGTTGGGCTTCTCGGAATCCATGGAAGTGCTCAAGGAACAATACACCTTGGTTGTTTGGTGGTGGTTTGAGATGAGATGGAGGGTGGTTCCATGATGATTTAAAGGAGTTAAGTGATCAGTTTAATACTCTCACTTGCTTAATGTTCACATCCATTTCTTATTTATTGCTTCGTTTACTTATGGATCAAGCTCATTGATGCTAGTTCAACTCAAGCAGCACTTCATATTTAATAATTTAGGCTCTGACAAACTTTTGTGGTTTTCTCGAAAGAAGGCACACTTGAGCTAAATAGCACTTCTGCTGAGGTTTGTTTCAACATAATCTTGTGTGGTTTGACTATAGTTGATTCCTGCTGAAGATGTTTGTGCAATCTTCATGCACTGCTTGTTGAAGTTTTGCTACATGATTTCAACTGCAGAAACAACCAGCTTGGATGTGTTTTTTGTTTGATAGCATGATTAGTAGCTTCGTGAAGCAGATGTGTCCACCATAACCTCAGATAAGCGGTTTATCTGGTCAAATTTTATGCTGATGGCATAGGGATGTGAGACGTATTCTTAGATGTTACTATTACTACTCTCCTCTGATGAGAAAAGATTAGTTAGTATGTTTCAGCATAGACATTATGATATAGTGCTAGTTTACTAATTCCCAAGTGTGAGATTTAGCAAGTCATGTGGAGCTTCCAGCGCATTGGTTGTGGGAATAGTAGGGATTTGTTGACGTCTACCAATACCAGTTCCTGGCATTAGGTACAACAGGATGCACTAGCCACTGAAAGTAATAGTTCTAAAAGGATTAATATCTTCTTCGATGGACAAAAGAAAACATCGTTTATATTTTTTTTTATGCATTTCAGATCTCACAAGTTAATGTAATATTTTTTTACAGTGTTAAGCAGCATTCCAGTTACACTACAATGATCCTACTAAAGCATGAGTTTCTAAAGAAGTCTCGCTGACTTTGCATGATTTTTCTCAAGGAATATTTTATGTTTGTAAAAACAAGCCTCTCGAATATGTCATAAAGCATTATTTCTATTGGTTTAGGTCTTTATGCATATATCTTTATCCATAATAGAACTTGAAGTCAATGGATGCAGTTCTGACACAAACGTCTCTTGTTTAGAAATTTAGAAACTTGAGGTCATTTAATGCAATTTTGACTTAATATTCCTTCTGTTCAAAATTTATACTTTGCATGCGGTCTTCAATGCAATTGCATTTGACTAATCTGTAATAGTTGCAACGGTGGAGTTGCAGCACTCAGCAATATTGCATTGGTGAGATTATTCAAACATACTTCTCCATTCTATCAGTCCAATGACTGAACTAATTGATGTTAATTGACTCTTATTTAGTCTATGTACTTCCTTTTTTTGTTTAATGTGATGCACATGCTTTGACTAATCATTTGTTTATTTAAAACGATAATTAGAGTTTATTTTAGGCTTGAAGTTGTTTTCATGTGTCTGAGTTACTGATTCACATCTGTTCAGCTCTATAGATCAATGATCTCTTATGGGAACAAGAAATCAGTCGTTTCCTCATCGCTCCTATATGTGTCTCCATTATTTAGTTGCTGTATCTAAGGTCTGAGCATCTTAAATAATAAATGTTCATCATTACGAGCATTATAATACAATTTGATCTCCAAGAGGAATCTTGTTCAATCATTGAGCTTTAATAACTCACCGACCTTGTTGCTTTTCTAATGAAGGAAGACTAGATTTATATCAAGTGGCAAATGGAGAACTGCTTGATGGAGTCATCCCTCCTCTCCCGGGTCTTAGACCAATAAATGTTGAAATGCTTAATCTGCCTTTCGAAGAAGATTTCTTGCAGGTGTTAAGAGGTCGTGCTAGCCACCTTGCTAAATGCAGATGATGAGTGATGATATGTGCCACAATTTGGTACACGACAGAAGGATTGAGGGCTTGAGTTAATGTCGAGAATTGGCATACTAAATTATCGGAAATTACTTCTTTGACTATAGAGGTAAGACAACGTACATTGATCGTCACTGTAGCCTCTCTATTGGTATGAGACTCGTGCATGGATTTTGGCCAATAATATACTTCATCATACATACCTGCCACAAAATGGGCTAGTTATGGTCAGACCATCAAGCTCTGACAAGATCCAACAAATGGCCCTTTGGAGAGCTTGCCAACTCCATAAGCTGGTAAGCGTACAATCCTATGGAGTGTTTGGACCACTGCTATAGCTCCCTAAAAACACCAAATCTTATGTTGCATGGGTTGATCAATGGGCACTATCTCTCACTCTCTGAGAACATCTTCTGAAGTTTTCTTAGATTTGGCAGTCATTGTTATCATAGAGAATTTACATTCTTGTTTGGTTTTGAGAGTGAAGAAAAACATGCTCATTTCATGTTGGCAACTGACTCCACCTCCATCTTCTTCACAGGGACCTTTTCCTCCATACCCATGGCAGGAGCACTCCTCAGCAGAAAACAACTTCTCGTGCATCATTATGCTTGAAAGATGGTAAAGGCAGCCTGAACTGTCACACAAGGTAAAAACTAGGAAAGTTCCATCTCCTCTGCACTGAAACATCATACTCTAGGAGAAAAAATGGAGCCATGCATCCACTTGAAGTATGAATATTGTTGATGCAAGATGTTTGAGCATTTGTTCTTGTTTGTTATGAGGCACAATAGCAATGTCTTTTGTTGATGAACGTCGTTGCAGCAAACATTTTAGAGATGACAATCAAAACTTTGGACAGAAGGAATCCTTTTCCTTATTGAAAGGAGATGAATTATTTTCCTCTTCTTTTTTTCTTATGTTGAAGTATATATGGGTCTTTTTCAAAACAGGCTGTAAGTTCAAATCCAATTATGTCTATTAGACATGTTGATTTCAGTCTTACATCAATCCAATTATATCTATTATAGGATTTGGAGAGGGATAATATATGTGGTCTCAACTTTAAATACCTAAAAATTTAATATTTTCATGAAAAAAATTCATCTTAGGATTTCTTTCTTATAAATTTCTACTATAGAAAGTGAGAATTATTGAAGAATCACATAAGAGGGTATATAAGGATAGATAACCTCGAGTTTGAGCTAATTCAAGAGGAGTTTATTCTTGGGTATAAACATTAGTTTTTCTTCATGGAAATAAGTAAGGAATGAAATTATGTAGATCTTAAGTTTATTATTTTCTAGATTTGTATTTTTATTATCGATTCTCTAGATTGTTCTTTTCGTGTGAAGGTCTTGTTGTTAAAAAATATACTTAATTTGTTATGTCATACTTACGATATATTAAGGTACATAACCTTTAAAATGTAACCCTTAAAATATACCCTCTAATCCCTAAGAATTGCAGGTTTATTGTACTAAGTGTGTGGAGAAATATATATTTGAAGAAATTATAATTGTGAAGAGAAAAAAAAAATGTAACTGTGTGATGAGTGTCCTCCATCAGGCATACTCCCACCACCATTCAATCAATCACTCCTCCCTATTTCTTCTCTCATGTTTATCTTTCTTCAGAGATCATGCTGTGATGGAATAATGTCCGAGTGGCGATTACTTCGGAAACCAAAAGAGAAGGTAAGGCTACGGAAACATTTGACCTCGGCATGATCACCTAAAGGAGAGAGCACTTAATTGGTGGAAGAATGGGAGTGCGTTCTCGGCCTCCGACACAGGCTTTTGTGCTCGACATTCTGTGGTGCAGGCTATTTGACGCAGCACCTCAGCCTCCTTTTTATCTGGTGCTTTGGCCAGTCTAAAGAGGGCGATAATTGAGCTTTGTGGTGGGGGCTTAAGGATAAGAATTGCAGAGATGTAAAGGGAAGTAAGTACTGCTAAAGCACTGAGGTAGCAAAGGTGACAATTATTGGAAATCCATGCAGTATGATAATGATTTATATGAGTAAGGACTGCTAGGTTATTTTTATAAGCCAGATAAAGATTACGTATTATTAAGGATTGAAATAAAAGAGTAAGATCACTTAATTATGAGGGAACAGTATGAGATATCATGTCACGACAACATCTCGATCTTTTTGTTCATATAATCTTTACACAAAAGATTTGATGCGACATAACACCTCGGTATGCTTGAGTTAAAATTCTATGTTTCATATGACATTATCTCTAGAATAGTGATCAAAGCCCGTCAACGTGACTCCTAGCACTAAAGAATGTTGGTCATCTAATTTATATTATATGTCTATCTTATCACCATGACTACTATATAATAGAATTATATTTTTCAATACTATAGGAGCCGAGAATATGCGTCATAATTCTGGCTTTCTAGACTTATAAGAAGTGATCTCTCTTCTATCCTTTCAAAAAAAATATTTATGTGTAAAAAAAAGAGGAATTTAATTTAAATACACGAAGTACCTTATATACGTTTTTCACAAATTATTCTCAGGAATTTTTTTTTTCTATTTTCCAGGCTTAAGACTCATATTTATTTTCATTTTTCAATAGGATGTTCATTACCTGACAGAAAAGTTGAGGCAATGGTCACATCACCTGATACCAACATGTTCTCAAAGTTGTGATAAGGACACAACAGCATATAACATTTGGGAAGCACAAAAGAACTGTTAAATATTTTGAACTTAAATAGGAAGCACAAAATATTTTGAACATTTGGTCCCATCACATTTTTGAAAAGCTTCTACAAACTTAAAAGTAATAAGAACTTAAATATTTTGAGTTGATAGCCACCTGACATTAGAGATTAAAATTTTTAAGTAATAAGAACTTAAATATAACAGTATAATTACTCCTTTGCGACCTGACATGAGAGATTAAAATTCTTGAAGTCACAGATATTTGAATTCCTCATCTTCCAAAGAACCTCTCGGATCAGGAATCTAAAAATACTACCGGTTAGGTTCTTTCTCCTTATCAAAGTGGAACCCACCACACTATAATCCACACTTTGATTCGCTGAGCACCGTAAGCAATTGGGCTTTATATGACCTACAATTAAATAAACGAGGCAAAAGGCATCCCAACAGGTACTGATTTCATTGGCTTTGTTCTGATGCACTTGACTTTAGTGTGCTTTCCCTAGTAGGGCAACTCTTAGCAGCTAAAATTGTGGCAGCTGGGTCGTGAGCTTTCTCTGCAGCATCCAATACTGCTCTCCACAAACTCGACTATCATTCGAGCTTTGCCTGAAGCATCCAATAATTAGATGCTCTCCACAAACTAAAAAGGTGTTCCTGCTTTAAGCATGTTTTCTCTTGCTTTGCTCTGGATATGTTCTTTAAGTCTCATGCTAATCTTTGATCTTGTGATCTTGTGCTCCTTTTAACGTGGCTTTTCTTCTGCTGTGTAAAGTCTCAGTGCTTGTTTCAGTGTTTTATCTGTTGTAATAGGGATGATAGAACCACAGTGGCCAATGATTAATGAGGTGTTTATGACATCATATGCTTGTAGTTTGATGTCATTGTAAACTCAATTTTCTAGTGCATGTTGACATGTATATTTTGAATTGCAATCTGGATTTGTATGATACATATTGCATATAATCCTAACACTCTTAGTTTACATTTTTTTTTTTCATGTCTATATGGATTTCATAAATGTACGATCATTGTTTTAGCCAACTTGCTCCTGCGCATAATAAAGGGTTCGAGACGAAAAGTATTACTGCACATAAGGCTAGAAGTAAATTATAATACAAAAGCATCATTGCACTAAGTCTCATATAGTTTTGATGTTGAATCATAATAACCGGAGAACTAAAGGATATGATGATGATGATGATGATGATGATTTAATTAGTGGTTTAAAGTTATTATATCAAGGCAAGTTGTGATGATAATATATATGATGAAATACCTAATAAATATGGTGTTGAATACTTTTTCAAAGAATTTATTTAGTTTAATAGTCATAAAAAAATGAAAGATTTTATGATACTCCTGGAATAGCTTGAAGAGATTGGACTTTCTCTAACATCAATCTTACTTATGAATGAGATGAATACATGATAATACATACTGTTTGTATTTAGCATGAAATCATGATATACACATTTAAAACAGTCATTTCACCAAATTTGTCATAATTTTTTCTGCTATTCTCTTTACATTCGTGAATTACTTCATGGCTGTCAAAGGTAAAATTCACACACACATATATATAGAATACTGCATAATAAGGTCATAGTATCTATCGTATCAGTATCTTGCCTCCATATCTCTGTTTGGAATAAGTTGCTGCATAATAAGGTCATAATATCGTATCAGTATCTTGCCTCCATATCTTTTGTTTGGAATAAGTTCCTCCAAGAACACAATAATCTCTACGTGTAGCAACTTAGCAAGAATGAGAATCAAATGCTACATGATTTTAGCATCCTCATGATCGAAAATGGCCATGCCAATTGTAACGAATAATTAGGACAGGCAATTGTTCGGAAAATGTTAAAAAAGTGGAGGCTTTTTCTTAATGGAGAGTGCGAGGATATGGGAAGACAAAATCGTCGAACAAAAAGGCCTGTCCTTGGAGACCCTAATATTGTTGGATGATGGAGTTGTAGAGGGTGCTTTCTTTCGCATCTTGATTAATAAAATAGGGACTTTTAATTTTCTTGGTTTGTCGTGGACATGAAGGCAAGTGAGATCAGGAAATACTTCTTCAAACAACCAAACAAAGTCTACTTCAAACTTTGGGTTAGGCAGTACTATAGGTTAGAGAGAGCAACATGACTATGTGATCTTATCTAATTAGATAAGATATATTACAAATATGATTAAATTTTGATTAGGATTATCGATTAATAGAAAAAATTAATTATAATAGGATTCATTAGGAGATGACCTTGATAGGATGAATTCTCCTAATTACTTATCATAGATTTCCTGTTCTTGCCTATAAATAGATAAGATCTTCTAAGGACTCAATACGATATAATATGATACGTGACGTTATTAAGATATTATAAATATCTTCTCATCTTTCCTTAATCATGTGATATTATTAAAAGATCACAGATCTTTTCTCATCTTTCCTTTGTTCATAATCTATGTTAATAACGATCTCGTGAAGGATAGGAAGAGAGAAGAATACGAGTTTAGTTCTCCTTGTAGATGGACATCATTATAGCTTTCGGATCTGACGACGATATATTTATAAATCAAATAAAGGCTCTCTGAATGTTATCGAAAAGATCACATCGTAAATTTAATATATTATTATTTGATTTCAATTTCTAATATTAAATTTTTTTACATAACAATAGCATAATCATAGTTTTCTTCCATGTGATAATTAAATTTCAATTCTTGTTCTTAGATATTTGTTTGATTATTAACGTGCATATGTTTAAAATTATAAAATAATATTTATTTTTCACATCAGACATGATTTATCATAATTATAGTTATTATATGAGTTTTTCTATTATGCTGATTAATATTCAATAATTATTATGGTTATTATTTTATTATTAAAATATTTCAACATAAATTATATTAGAAAATTTTGGTGAATATTATTTATAACTTATACATCTAGGTTTTATCTAATTAGTAGCTACCAAAGTGGCCTAAGATGATAGGCTTATGTGATATAAATTATAATAAATATTTTGTTACTTATAAAATCACAAACTTAACTATTGAAAATTCTATAGAACAAATAATTAAAATAAATAATTAAAAAAGGTCTAAAATACTTAGTTTTATAATAATTGCTAATAATATTTAGGCTTTATTATGGTCTATAACTAGTATACTAAAATATTTAAAGATTAATTTAAATAATTGACCAGTGATTAATTGATATCTAAATTAAAAAATTAACTAAAATTTAATCTTATGGTATTTTAAAAATTTAAGATTATATCCTTAATATGCTTGATGAATCTATAAGCTCAAGAATAGTGGGCATGAATATAGTTGAGTTGTTTCTTGTATAATTTATTCTTAATTTTATTTTTTTCTTAGTTTGACCCATTTAAAATTTCATAAAATAAAATTAAGGATAAGTGAAACTTAAATTAGCTAACTAATATATGTGTTTAGGAAGAATTAAAATTAAAATAGGAAAGACTCATAATATTTTAGATACTACTTAAGGTGGATAATAATAAAAGAAAGTTGAAACATAAATCATTCGAGTTTATAAATACTATATAAATTTATAAAATAAAAATTTTAATAGTAAAATGCTACTTTTGTAATAAGAGAGATAATATGAAGAAGGAATATAAGATTTTAGTTCAAAAGGAAAGGTTTTAGTCCAATAATAAAGATTTATTTTAATATGAAAATAAAAAATATATATAATATTCATCATTATAGGGAATCATCTTAAAGTGAAAATAATAGTAATTGTTACTTATCTTTTACACTTAGAAATGATTTATTTAATGGATCTTAAATATGCATGTTATGATAATGGATCTTAAATATGCGATACATGTTTAATTGAACATTATAATTAATATTCTTATTAAAATTATTTATTTTTATTATCTTTTTCATATTATGGTTAGATATGATAACAAGATTGTCTTGATAAGATAAATTATATAGATAATTTTGAATTACATTATGAAGGACTAATAGTGTTGTGGTACCTAGAATGAAGTATGACGTTGATGACATACAATTGCTATGACTCATATTAGTAGTCAAACTTAATATGGTATTATTATGTTTATTAGACTTATTAGCTTATTTTATAAAATTTGTACATATAAAATATTTTTTAAAATTTTAGAATCTAATTAAATAAAATTATTTTTAAATAAAAATTATTTTATTTATTTTTATTTTAATTTTTTTATATCTTATCAATTAATAAGCCAAGTGAGAGAATATTAGATTATATAGTCCAATTATAATAGAAAGAAATATATATTATAGATATTATTGGATTATGATTACGGTTATTAAGCAGAAAGAAAGTCCAATCATAATAGAATTTCTTAAGAGATTATTTTAATAGGAAAAACTTTCCTAATTACTTATCAGACTTTTTATTCTCACCTATAAATAGATAAAATCTTCTAGGACTCAACACGATATGATCTGATATATGACGTGATGTTATTGATAGATTATGGAACTTTTCTCATCTCTCTTTAGTCACACGATATCATTAAAAGATCATATATCTTCTCTCATCTTTTTTAATCCTAATTCATTGCTAATACTATTTTTTATAAAGAATAAGAATAGAGAAAAATGTGAGTTTAGTTCTCCTTATATATCGATATTGTCATAATTTTTAAATCTGTAGATTAGATAAAGACTTTCTAAACAACATTGAAAGACACACTTGGTGAATTTAATCTATTATTATTTAATTTTTATTTTTAATATTAAAAAAATATATAATAGGAGCATAATATAGCTTCCTGGTCCGTGCAAATGCACAGTATCATCTATAGCAAATTTAGCAGCAGTACTACTATAAAGTTGTTTGCAGAAATCAAATCTATGAAAACAATACCATCATCTCTTCAGTGGGAGAGGCACTTCAGCTTCAATGGGAAGGGCACTTCTGGTATTTGTGGATAGTGAGGCTTATAGCCTCACAGTTTAGGCCTCTCTGAAAATCTAAGTGCTGACGATGCAGGGCATCAAGTGTTGCACATCCTAGCTCAGATGCCTTTATATGAGAGAGAGAGAGAGAGAGATGTGTCAACATTGCTGTATTTTGGTGACAACATTGCTGAATCTCCCTTCTAAAACTTGAGTGAGGACTTATTATCAAAGATTTTGGTATCTCCTTCATCATACTCCTGCCACCATATTTCAATCAAATTGCTTTGTTATTAGAGCTATGAAAACTTACTGTCACACTCACACTCATCCAGTGTCACTTGCAGAATCATTTTTCCTTCAGTCTTACATGTGTTGTCAGGAGAAGGTATCAATTTAGTCTCTATTTCTTTCCTTGCTCGAATGATTGAGGGTTGTAATCATGCTTGAAGTGCTGTCCTGTATCACTATGATGATGCGCCTCCAAGAAAATTTACAGCGTCTGGATTTATCAACCTTGGTAAAGTATGTATCAGGCTGGAACATGATATAAGTTAACTTCTGTACATCACTTATTAAGCACACTGTAATGTTGGTTTAATGTTGATTGTCAGGTGGGTAAGGAGAGTTTTATATCTTCACCCTTCTTGTGTCTTTATAGTGGTTGTTTGAGCTCAGCCAAGGAGTTGAAGTAATGAGAATGTCTGAACAGTGTTAAGTAATTCAGTATAAGCTCAAATTACTGTGGAACTATCAAAGTAATTGCAAATTGTGTATGGTGAGAAGAAATAATTACAACTTAAAATATGAGATCTCTCTCTCTCTCTCTCTCTCCATATATATCACAGTGATGTGAAATTGCAAGTTTCGCAAGGGTTCTCTGTGTTCTTTAGTTATCATTAGCATTTTTGTGTAACTTAGTTTCCATAATAGTTTTATTGATATTTGCCATTGATATATTGAATAATTTCTGCTAATTGACATGTGTTTCTTGATCACACTTGCAATGAGATCTAACATGCAGATCCACAGTGGCGAATTTAGTACATCTGCACTTTTCTGTGCCTATATATAGATAGATATACGTTCCACCCTGATGAGTAAATCCAAATTATAATCCAACAACATATCTTTCTTATGCCACCTCCATCGACCGTCATGGATATTACTTTCCATCGGAACAGCCTCATCCATCTTCTCTCTCAGGTTAACCCCTTCTGGATCCAATTCTTTTACTTCCTCTCTTCCTCTATCACCGGCTTCCTCCTCCTCAAGCTACTGCCTACGAGAGACGCGACGAGTAGGCCCACCAACGTCGACCTGCTCTTCATGTCCGTGTCGGCCAACACGGTCTCAAGCATGGACACCATGGAGATGGAGGTGTTCTCCAACTACCAGCTCGCAGTACTGACTCTTCTTATGGTGATCGGGGGAGAGGTGTTCATCTCCATGCTTAGTGTTCACTTCACCAAGATCAACTCCCAGATGAGGGATTCTGCACTGGATGCAGCCGGCACGGAACTCGCTACTCTCTCTGATCAAAGACGGAGCTCGGACTTGAAATTTAGCTCTAGAAAGCACCTGTTCTTCGTGGTGTTGGGGTATCTCTTAGTAGGCCATGTGGTTGGTTTCTTACTCATCCTTGTTTACCTGAGACTTGTCCCGGAAGCCGGAGCTGTGCTTGAGAGAAAGGGTATCAACGCGTCCCTGTTCTCCATCTTCATCACCGTCTCTACCTTCGCCAACTGCGGCTTCGTGCCCACCAATGAGAACATGGTTGTCTTCAGGACTTACTCCGGCCTCCTATTGATACTTACAGTGCAGGTACTCGTCGGAAACACGTTGTACGCCTCGTGCCTATGGGCGGTCATCTGGTTGTTGAAGAAGCTCACCAAGCGGCGGGAGTATGATTACCTGCTAACTAACTACGGGGAGATGGAGTGCAATCACTTGCTTCCTGGCTCTCACTCACTGTACTTGGCTCTCACCGTGGCTGGGCTTGTGCTAGTGCAGTTCGGACTGTTCTGCTGTATGGAGTGGACGTCTGAGATCTTGAGTGGGCTGAGCACGTATCAGAAGGTCGTCGGCGTCGTCTTCCAGTGCGTGAACTCACGCTATGCCGGAGAAACCATCGTTGACCTCGCTGCTGTTGCTCCGGCCATCTTGGTGCTGTTTGTGGTGATGATGTACGTACAGCGCTCTTCGTGGCTTCTTTAGTAAACTTAACCATAAGTTGACAGAGACCTCCGCATAAACAACAGTATGTGGTAGGGCCCACTTCGTGAGGTGACATCTTCAAAGAACATCACATGCAACAGCACCCCCATGGCCAACAGATAGGACCAACACACCGTCTCTATTGCACGCGCACTCTTTTCACATTTTTCCGTGCAGCAGTAGTGCATATTGGCCAATCCCACTTGTCGCACAAATATGCTAACGAATTGATAATATGCATGTGTTACAGGTATATTCCTCCATATACATGTTTTCTTCCTAGAAAAGGTGATAAGCAGCTACTCAAAGGCAGGGAAAGAAGCAGGAAGAAGCAAGGCCTGAGTTTGATCTTCTCGCCATTGTCTTATATTGCCATTTTTACCATCATTGCATGCATCACAGAGAGGAGACAGATCTCTGAAGACCCGATAAACTTCAGTGTCCTCAACATTGTTGTTGAGGTTGTAAGGTACGTGCCTTCTTCACAACTTTATTCCCCTTGAGAGAGAGAGAGAGAGAGAGAGAGAA